CTTGCTGCTGGCTGCTACTGGCTGCTGCTGGCGGCTAGGCTGCTGCTACTGCTTGCTACTGCTGCTGCTGCGTCGCTGCTTGCTGCTACTGCTGCTACTGTTTCTATTTGCTGCTGCTGCGCTTCTGCTGCTCTGCTGCTGCGCGCGCTCGCCTCGCTAGCTTGCCGTGCTATCTGTTTCTATTGCTGCTGCACTTGCTGCTCGCTGCTTGACCATTATAATGAGAAATAATAATAATAATATGGCTACCATTTGTTTTCTCATGCAGTGATGACCATGCGCAGGTCTTCTTGAACCGACACCTTCAGGGTCTTAGTGAAGCTCGGGGGCTCGCTAGCATGGCACGTCTGACCGCACAGCTGCATGTCTGGCCCGATTTCCATGGCAACAGGTCTCCGATAGCCGACCCCAACATCCGTGGCATGGTACCGAATTTATACGAACACCGAAGAGTTCAGAACAAGCTTTTATGCTAGCAATGAGTAGCTGAATGAGATGGGTGTATGTGCATCAACGTTGACACGCTTATTAATTCGTGGCTCTCTGTCGGTTTACGTTGCAGATTTGTGGTTTGACCTTAGACAAGAGTGTTGATGACCTTGCTATACTCTACCTGGCTAGCATGCAAGCTCTAGCTGTGAGTATATGTAGTTGGGAGCAACCTGTGAATTGATTATCATCGTTTCTTATCATCATCATCATTATTATTGTGTGTGTGCTGAGATTGGCATGTCTGCTTGCAGTACAGCACTAGGAGTATCATAGAGGCACTGGTCAAACATGGACACGACATCCAGATGGTCATCCTGTGTGCCGGACTCAGCAAGAACTCGCTCTACTGCCAGGTCCACGCCGATGCTCTGGGTATGCACCGATGTTTCTGTGTGCGTTGTTCTAGCTGCTGCAGTCAGTGTCGGTGACATTGCAGTAGCGTTATTCTTGGTAAAGGCTGCTAGCTAGAGTGGACGGCAGTAGAGCGACACTCCAGTAACCTTTATTTAATAAAGGTTGTTGTACTCACTGGGCCTGCAGTAGAAGAAACTGCCTTTCAGTAAAGGCTGCCGTATTTAACTGATACAGTCGAGGCCACTTCAGAGCAACATCGTTGAGTCCTTATTTCTCTAGAATTCGGCACTTCAGAGAAACATCACTCAGTCCATTATTTCTCCACAAGATGGCACTACTACATTTCCCATGACTGATGTCACATGCTTGTCTTGCGCAGAGATGTAGGTGGTGGTTCCCAAGGCGAGTGAGTGCATTATTCCTTATTCCTCCAGAAGATGGCACTTCAGAATAATGTCACTCAGTCCTTATTTCTCTAGAAGACGGCACTACAGAATAACATCACTCATGTCAGTGATTATTTCTCTATTGATCAATCCTTATTGATCCTTTTATTATTCTTATTATCCTCTTATTGATCAGTCCTTAATCCTATACAAGATGGTGCTACATTTCCCGTGACTGATGTCATGTGCTTGTCTTGCAGATAGTCAGTGGTGGTTCCCAAGGTAAGTGAGTGCGTTAGTCCTTATCCTCCGGAAGATGGCACTCCAAAACAACATTATTCAGTCCTTATTTCTCTAGACTTTAGAACAACATCATTTAGCCCTTATTCCTCCAGAAGATGGCATTACTACATTACCCCTGACTCATGTGACGTCGTGTGCTCGTCTTGCACAGAGATGTCGGTGGTGGTTCCCGAGGCGAGCGAGTGCGTGCTGCTGGGAGCGGCCCTGCTAGCGAGCTGCGCTGCTGCGGCGTTCGCTTCCCCGCGTGAAGCCATGCAGTCCATGACGGGGTCAAGCACACTCGTAAAACCCACCCTGCAGGACAGAAGGTAGAATACGTGATGAGAGAGGCTGTGATGAGACAGGGTGTGATAAGGCAGGGTGTGATAAGAGAGGCTGTGATGAGGCAGGGTGTGATGAGACAGGGTGTGATAAGGAAGGATGTACTAAGGCAGGGTGTGATAAGGCAGGGTGTGATAAGGCAGGGTGTGATAAGGCAGGGTGTGATAAGGCAGGGTGTGATAAGAGAGGCTGTGATGAGGCAGGGTGTGATGAGGAAGGATGTGATGAGGCAGGGTGTGATAAAGCAGGGTGTGATAAGGCAGGGTGTGATGAGGCAGGGTGTGATGAGGCAGGGTGTGATGAGGCAGGGTGTGATAAGGCAGGGTGTGATGAGGCAGGGTGTGATGAGGCAGGGTGTGATGAGGCAGGGTGTGATGAGGCAGGGTGTGATAAGAGAGGGGGCAGGTTGAATGAGGGGCAAGGGTGTCGAGCGAAAGTGCAAGCCGGTGTGCCATTAAGGCATTTTGATGATGGGCAGGTGTGACAAGGCAGGTGGTGACTGAGGCAGGGTGTGACAGGGCTAAGGTGATGACTAAGCGGCAGGGTGGTGACAGGGCACGGGTGCTGATAGGCAGGAGTGATGACAGGGCAGAGTGTGATGAGCAGGGGTGAAGAGGCAGGGTCGTGACAGGGGCAGGTGTGACTGAGGCAGGGTGTGAGTGAGATACAGGGTGGTAGCGAGAGCGCAGGGAATGTGATAAATGCAGGTGTGCTAAGGCAGGTGTGATAAGAAGGATGTTATGAGGGCAGGTGGACAAGGCAGGGTATGATGAGGAGGGTGGTGATGAGGTGAGGGTGTGGAATGAGGCAGGCGTGTGCATAGAAGGCAGGGTGTGACTGAGCAAGAGGTGTGTGAGGCAAGGGGTGTGATGAGGCAGGAGAGGGTGTGAATGAGGACAAGGTGGGACAGATCAGGTGGGGGAAGGGAGCGGAGAATGGACCTGGTGCTCCAGGGGGCAATGCACTGAGTTCTCAAGCACCTGGTGTGATGAGGCAGGTGGATGAGGGCATGGTGCTGACAGGGCAGAGTGGTGCAAGTTAGGGAGGTCAGTGTGTCGATGAGATCAGGTGCCTAACTGAAGCGCAGTGGTGTGATAAAAGGGCAGGTGTGCCTAAGGCAGGGTATGTGAAAAGAGCAGGATTCTATGAAGGCAGGGTGTGCAGCAGAACGCGCAAGGCTGTGATGCCGGCTAGGCGCTGCTGACTGAGGTACGCGGGTTGCATGCAGCAGGGTGCTTGATAAGCGCGCGTTTCGCATGAGCGCGCAGGTTGTGATGACGCAGGGCTGTGCCGCATGCAACGCAACGGGTGAATGACAACGGCAGGTTGTGATAGCCAGCGGTGTCGATAACGAGAGGCTGTGCTTGCCAGGGGGCAGCGCTGTGCATGAGGCTCTCTAACGGTGCCCTAATGCCAGCAGGGTGCTCGATCCTAGCGCCCAGGGTAAGTGATAACGAGAGCCATGGTGTGATAAGGCAGGGTGCCTTTACCACTCACAGGGTGTCGACTGGAGGCTCACGGTCGCCCGCATCGAGGCGTGTCGCCATAAGGCAGGGTGTGTCACTGACGGCACGCGGCCCTGTGACACCAGGCCAGGCGTCGGGTGATGCCCGCGGGCAGGCTGCTGCAATCGCAGGCAAACGGTGTGATGCAGCACTGCGGCTCGATACAGGGCCAGGGTGTGACTGAGTGGCAAGGCTGGTGACTGAGCGCAGGCGTCTCGCATAAGGCAGTGTGTCGAACCACGCACGTGCGTGTCGACCTGAGGCCAGACGGTGTGACTGAGCAACAAGGTCGTATGAGCGGCCGGGTGTGGGAATACAGGCCGACGGTGTTAGCAAGGCACGCGTGTGGATGAGGCAGAGTTGTGACCATAAGGCCACGGTGTGACTGAGGCAGGGTTGTGGATAAGGGCACGGCGTCGTGATAAAGCGCAGCGAATGTGGATAAAGGCAGGGCCTGTGATGAGGCAGGGTGTGATAAGGCAGGTGTTATACAAGACAGGCCGTGTCGATAAAGGCCCAGGGTAGTGGATAAGGCAGGGTGTGATTTAGGGCAGGGTGTGATGAGGCAGGGTTGTGATATAGGCAATGGGTGTTACAAGCGAGGGGTGTGAATAAAGGCAGGGTGTTACAAGGCAGCGGTGTGATACGGCAGGTGTGATAACGGTCAGCGGTGGTGACTGCCAGCAGGCGTTGTTTGGGGGATAAGGCAAGGTGTGATAAGGCAAGAGGATAGATGCATGGGTGTGATGAGGCATGGGTGTGAGTTAGGCAGGGCTGTTACCAAGAACAGGGTGCTTAGCGAACGGGCCAGGGTGTCGATAAGCGGTCAGCGGTGTGAATGACGGCACGGAGGTGAATAGATAGCAGGGTGTACAAGAACAGGGAATGTGGATAGGATGCAGGGTGTGCATAAGGCAGGTGTGGATGAGGCAGGTGTGATGAGCAGGGTGTGATGAGAGACAGCCAGTGTGAATAAGGCAGGGGTGATAGAGGCAGGATGTGCATAAGGCAGGTGTGATAGGCAAGGAGTGTGATAAGGCAGGGTGTTACAAGACAGGGTGTGATAAGGGCAGGGTGTGAGTAAGGGCAGGGTGTTACAAGGCAGGGTGTCGATGAGGCAGGCGTGTGATGAGAGCATGGGTCGGTGCTGAGCAAGGGGGTGATGAGGCAGGGTGTGATGAGGCAGGAAAATGTGAATGAGGACAGGGGAGTGAATGCATGACGCAGGGTGTGATAAGCAGGTGTGAGTAAGCACGGTGTGATAAGGGCAGGGTGAGTTACAAAAAGGCAGGGTGTGATGAACGGTGTGATAGGCATGAAATGTGAATGAGGCAGGTGTACTCGAGTTCAGGTGTTGATGAAGCAGGGGATGTGATGAGGCAGGGTGCTGATGAGGCAGGGATGTGACAGGCAAGGGTGTGATAAGCAGGGTGTGAATGAAGCAGGACTGATGTGAATGAG